TCATAGATCCCTTGCTGGAAGCCCTCGATAAGATCAACTTCACGAAACCCACCGAGATTCAGCAACAAGCACTCCCTCATGCACTGGAAGGTCGAGATATCATCGGCGTGGCAGAAACAGGATCAGGAAAAACTGCAGCATTCGCTCTTCCAATCTTACAAAAGCTTTGGGACGAGCCAAAAGGCTTGTTTGCATGCGTTCTCGCACCGACCCGTGAACTTGCATACCAGATAGCACAGCAGTTCGAGAGTCTGGGTTCCGCCATGGGGGTACGGTGCTTGGTTCTTGTTGGAGGGATGGACAGGATGCAACAGGCTGTTGGCCTTGCTAAGCGGCCTCATGTCATAGTGGCAACCCCTGGTCGTTTGAACGATCATCTTCAGAACACGAAGGGATTCAGCCTCAGAAGTTTAAAATTCTTGGTGCGTTTTTATATATCCATCCCTTACCCCTCTGGTGCCTACAGTTGTATAGGTGATGGATGAAGCAGACCGTCTCCTCGACATGGATTTCGGCCCTGAAATAGATCAGATTCTCAAAGTCATACCCAAGGAGCGTACAACATACTTGTTCTCCGCTACCATGACCACCAAGGTTGCAAAGCTGCAGAGAGCCAGTCTAGTAAACCCTATTAGGGTCGAAGTTTCTTCAAAGTACGGGCAAGCCATCGACATCTCCAGCTGTACTGAGATCATCTGTGTAGATACCAAACCGTGTCCACCTTGCTGCAATATTATCTACTCGTCCCATTGGTTCACAAAGATGTGCATCTCATATATCTTGCCAACCATCTTGCATCAAATTCTATCATGATTTTCACTCGGACGGTGCATGACGCCCAACGGTGGGTAGTCCATTGCGATGATTCTGTCACCTCGGCTTAGTTTTAATCCAGATTGTCGATTATGTTGCGAACGCTTGGCTTCCCCGCCGTTCCATTACACGGTCAGCTGAGCCAAAGCCAGCGCTTGGGAGCTCTGGGTAAATTCAAGAGCGGAAGTCGCAAGTTGCTGGTAGCGACAGACGTAGCTAGCCGGTTCGTTCTTACTTCTACCTATGCGCGCATTGATTGATATCGTCCCACTTACAGTGGCCTTGATCTGCCTTCCGTTGACATCGTCATCAACTTTGATATTCCGACTCATTCCAAGGACTATATTCACCGCGTCGGACGAACTGCGCGAGCAGGCCGATCTGGAAAATCGATCACAATGGTTACGCAATACGATGTGGAGCTCATTCAGCGAATAGAAAAGGTTATTGACAAGAAAATGGAACTGTGGCCCACAGACAAGGAAGAAGTAATGTTGCTGAAAGAACGTGTGGACGAGGCTGCCCGGCTGGCCATCAATGAGCTCAAGGAGGAAGCAAAAGCAGGTGGAAAGAAACGCAGACGTGACGATGGGGGTGGAAAGGATGAAAGAGATCGTGACGATGATGTCGTAGAGGCAGGTATTCCAAGAAAGAAACATTCAAAAAGGGGGCGATAGTGCTTCTTGTATCTGGTATATGCAAAATACCATGAAAAGACGGTTCTATAAACATTGCATAGGACCTTTGTAGAACCTTGCAAGCAAGGTGGCGACATGTCCGTCGCATGGAACGATGCAGTCAACATCAAATATTAATGCAGCTTTGTTGCTATGAACTATCTGTGCGGGACTCACATCTATATACTCGTTTCTTGTACTACAAATGTTGTGTTTTTTTTATCGTCACATCCGACACTTACTCTCAAGCACCCACACCCTCAAACCTTTCCACAACGGCCTTCACAAGCTCCACATCTGGCCCTTCCACTTCAATTACGCGGCGTTCCATCGTCAGGAGCGTCTTAAACGCCTCCGGAAGTACTGTGTCAAAGTCGAACCCTGGCACACCAGCCAACGCACCCGTAACCGCCTCGGAGAACTTTGCAGGGTGCGCGGTAGAGAGAATGATTTGGATGGTGCCGGGTGGGCGCGTGAGCGCGCCCGCGACGTGCAACCCTACTGCGGTATGTGGGTCGGCGGTGTAGGATTTGGACGGGGATGTGTAATACTCCCGAATTGTTTGGCGGATCTGCGCGCGTGGCATGATGTTAGCTTAGCTTACTTCGTGAATGAATAAGAGTGCAGCGTACCTGGGCATCATCAACCCTCTCTGCCGTGAAATCCCTCTTCGCTAGCTCGAGGACTGAATCGGGCACGACGATGCGCCCCACCGACTTCACCTTGTCCATCCAGTCTTTCACTGTTTGGCATGCATTCTCACGCAAGTCCCTTCCTCCGGGGTTCGTGTTCTGTGCGTTCTCGAATGCGAGGTACCACAACAGCCGTTCGAAGTTACTCGACACGAGGATGTCCATCGCAGGTGAGAGCGTCTCTACCACGCCCCCCACCGATTGTGAATCCGGAATAAGACTCGAATCTACTTTTTCATACCGCCCCGACTTCCAGAAACGCGTGAGGATGTCGTTGGCGTTGGTCGCAATGACCAGTTTACCCATCGGCAGACCCATGCGCTTGGCGTAATAGCCAGCGAGGATGTCACCGAAGTTGCCGGTGGGCACGATGAATTGAAGCTCGGGTTCAGTACCGGGTGGGAGGGTGCGGCGGATAGCAAAGTAGGATAGGAAGTAGTATACGGTTTGAGCGAGGATGCGGGCCCAGTTGATGCTGTTGACGGCGCCGAGGTGGTGTTTTGCGTTGAAAGTGGTATCAGCGAAGAGAGCTTTGACGATGTCCTACCAGAAGTAGGTAAGTTATTTGATGAAATGGTATATGTGAGAGACAGACGCACCTGACAGTCGTCGAACGTCCCTTTCACGGCAATATTGTGCACATTTTCATCTGTCACGGTCGTCATTTGTGCTTCTTGGATCGGGCTCACGCGGCCCTTGGGATGCAGAATGAAGATCGACACATCAGGTTTTCCCCGGAGCCCATAGATGGCAGCGCTCCCGGTATCGCCACTGGTTGCACCTACGACGGTCAACTTCTCCCTCACATCGCCAGGAGATTTTGCATTGTTGCGACGCTGGAGAAAGTAAGAGAAAAGGTTGCCAAGGAGCTGGAGGGCGACGTCCTTGAAGGCATATGTGGGGCCATGGAAGAGCTCGAGGATATATTTGAGGCAAGGCTCGTCAGTCGTGAGTGGTTGGAGCGGTGTGATCTCAGGATGGCGCCATGCGGAGGTGTTGTACGTAGCATGGACAAGGTCTGCAAGGTCTGCGGGGGAGATTTCGTCAGGGGATATGAAGAGAGAGAGAACCTCAATGCTGAGCTCGGGGAAAGATTTGTGGGCCCAGGCTTGCTGCCAGTTGAGGGGCAGCTCTGGTATGGAGGCGGGGATGAAGAGCCCGCCGTCCGGGGCGAGACCGGTGAGGACTGTCTACGATGGGTGAGTGGATCAGCATTGGTGAGTTGGGTTTGGCTTACCTCCTCGAAGGAGAGTTCTACTGAACCGCCACGCGTGGAGAAGTACTTCATGGTCGATGATCGATGAGGGACGATCAATCAATCAATGATAGTCTCCCGTTAGTCATTCCTTCTATATTAGGGTTCAACGTTAACGACTCAGATTACTTCAATACAACCGCCTTTGCATGGATGATAATGCATTTATCTGATTCTACTTTTCCGAACTGGTGGGCTCTGTTAGAGTGACTACTATTATTTATTATTTGTTCCGCCCGAGGGAGATCGCTTGTATAATGTTAAACAAGTCCTTACCATGCTCGTTGGGCCCTACGGTTTCAGTTTCATCATTCACATTGCCGCCGCTCCCAGTAGGTTCTGACTGTCCTCCATCGCCTTGGGCACTTGCGTCATCATTGCGAGAAGAGTCCGAGCCCTCGTCTTCATGGTGCGACTCGTCGGAATCGAAAGACCTCTCCATGTCATCTTTGCTATCATCATTGACCTCCTTCCACAATCCTTACCCTAGAACGCCCGCGTTGCTGAACATGTTCATGTTCTTCTTCCGAAGAGGGGGTCGAGAATTGGCTGTACTTCGAGTTTGTCCGTGGAGTGTCCGACCCTACAATTGCAGATGCATAACCAGTACCAGTTCACTGATTACCAGAAACCTCGTACGTTCAGGTGTGTTGGTGTTCCAGTGACTTGCATCCTCAGGTGTGTCAACCACCCCTCCAGGTGATTCAAATCAATGCCCTCGCGGGGCGCCACACCTCCATCCTGCGTCGGATGTGCCTGAAGAAGATGGAGGGTGACGCGTCCAGGTAAACGGGTCATCATGATCAGAGCTCCCATTCCACAATGAATCGGACTGAGTTGCGCCCACAAGAAAGGGTGTACGCAGAAGTTTGATCTCAGCGCTATCGCTCTCGGGCGGTTCGCGAATGCATAGGGAAGGGATATCGCGTACCATGCACCGTACTTTGCTGGGAGCGCCCACAGCAAAAGGCGTGGCGTTCTCCGTGCTCCTGTTATGATTCAAGTAGACTCTACTGCCGTTCACGTCCTCATCAGGCTCAGGCACGTGAACCGCGCCAAGTTCAAGTCTATTTCCACTCGATCTGCCATTTCTCCTGCGAGGCAGTCCACACACGCCGGGACAGAGTGGATGGAACTTGAACCAGAGATACGCAGCGGCCACCCCAAGTAAAATATTTAAGACCGTGAAGAGGGGCAAGGGAGAGATGACATTCAGGTGGTGGAAGGAAGAGAACTTTGTCTGAGTATGATTCGGAGCAGTGATCAGGGGAGGGAGGGCCGTAATAGAAATGATACTGGCGCTTGCATCTGCGCTCGTGCGGGTATGCACGAGGTCAACAACAGCGGTAGGAGAATCCGCGGGTGTCGTTGGATGGAGTCTGAGAGGTACTACAACAGGGAATTTACACCGTCGTGGTCATATAATGATGAGCCAAAACTCCTCCATTCGTTTGCGAAGCAGTCGTGTATCCTGGATGGGGGCCAAAAACTGCAATGTGGCTCTTGACGCCAAACGCACTGCAAGGAGCGAAGCCTGATTAAACTGGAGAGTGTGGCAAAAAGCGTCACCTGAGCGATTCGAACACTCGCGGGCAAAGCCCAACCGCTAAGCTGTATAGCAGGCGATCCCGTTAACCACTCCGGCAAAGTGACTTGTTGGAGAATGGATGACTCGATCTATTTATGATATTGGACAAGATCTGCATCCACGGCAGCAAGTGGGTGATTGACATAGAGGACGATCGGTTAAAGCTATTATCAGCAACGGGCGTCAGTTATTGGACCGAACACGAGGCGAAAGATGAAGCAGTGCCTTTTTTGAATTTTTGGCAAGTATGTAAATTGTTTGTGCCGTGAAAGGATATTGGTGTTAGCGTACATGAGGTCCGCGGTAACGATAGGCATTCATGTTCTGCCCGTTAACCTGCTGCAAACAGCCTGCTTGTAATCACCCTCCAAGGGTCTTAGCTCCTCCATTCACTCTTCCGCAGCACCCTAACCGATCCACAACCTTATTTCTTTTGGTCCTAGTCGTCGTCTGACTCATTTCCACCACAACGCTCGTCCGGGTCATGAAAGCATTCCTCAACAGGTTCAACAGAGGCCTGTCATCAAAGGACAAAGACAAAGACAAGGAAAAAGACCGTGATAATTCCTCCATCCTCACCAAGGACCGCAGTGACAACTCCTCCACCAATTCCCATTCACCCCCCACCCGAGAAAAGCGTGAGCTCGTACAACTTCCCCCTCTTCCAGAGTGGCCTCCCCCCCATGTACAATCCGAGAACAGGCTCTCTATCGAGCCTTTGACCAGATATCCAACAGACGCCAGTAGTAGACATGCCCCTTCTCCCAGTTCGATACAGATCCAACGTTCCAACAGCGCGGGTACCGTAAATACTAGTACAGGAACTCCTACCTCTACTTCATCCCATAAACCACTTCCCGACATCTGTGCTCGCCCCTTGCCTCCCATTGAGGAGCCCTGTGACGACGACAGTGGTGTTGGCCTTACCGTCACTCCCACCCCTCCGCATGACCCTGACCCTGCTGCCCGCCGCAAGGCAAATGGTAGTGCCACTACTTCTGGCACATCTACCGACGTCCAGAAAAAAGTTGCCTTTCTTTCGCCCCCTCCGACGCCCTCGGCTCTTAGTATCCAACTCCCGGACTCATCCGTACCCAGCCCCTCTCCCATCACTCAGACGCCCTCAGGCGCCCCGCTCAAAACCAGTGTATCGCGTTTTCAGGCGACACATGGCAAGGACTCGCGTGGCTCCATCTCCACAGCCGCATCAAGCTCACGCACAGATCTAGCTACTAAATCTACCACCACCACCTCCACCACCACCACTGCCTCCACCACCTCAGGAACATCTACTACTGTAGTCCCATCCACCCATACTGCCAAAGCAACGAGCACCCGCACAGCAGTGTCCCCTTACCCAGGCTCAATGCGTTCCACTACGCCTTATTCTCAAATGTCGAACGCTAGTAGCCGCATTCTCGCCGTCACCTCATGGAGCGAGGGTGCAGAAGAAGACCTTGTGAGCAACCTTGGTCCTCGTGAACGAACGCGGCAAGAAGTTCTCTGGGAGATCGTGGCATCTGAAGAGCGGTGCGCTGCCTCTCCTAAACCTTGATGCACTGATCTTGATTTGATCATCATTCCGCATGTGACAGATACGTAAATGATCTTACAAAAATGAAAGAGACCTTCATTGAGCCGCTTCTCCACCCTTTCGCCATTCCCCCGCCTACCAGCCCCACGCCAACAACTTACACCGAGTACGATGAGTACAGGGTCGACTCACCGCAGGAGTCGATCGACGTTCTTCCCATTGCTGCACGCTTCATGAGCCCTATTGGCTTCCGCGCTGATGGGCCCTCGAAGCCTATAGATGGTCGCAGCCTCGCTACCACGACGCCTAACATCGATGACGAGAGCGACGAGGATGCTGAGGACACATTAGGCGAAGGGCTGCAGAGTAATCGCGCCAATCCGACACACAATCACCCTCGCTCGCCTTATCATGGGGGAGGCACTGGTGGCAAGGGGACAACAAAAATACGCGATCCCGTCCCCTTCCCTTCACACTCACATGCGTCCCTCCCTGCACCTCAGCGTAAGCTCGCTGCTGCTTCCTCACATTCGCTTGGAGACAAGGAAAGGGAACGGGAGCGCAAAGACAGTGCTAAGACCACTCCTACTCCAGGCACTCGGGTACTACGCAAGTTCAAGCGTTCGACAACGCAGGCCAATAGTCTCCTCCAGGGTGCTGTGCCTCCGCATCTCCTGCCCGAGGATCTGCGCATATGCCTTGAGGTTATCGAAAGTGGCGTGCTTGATGGTCATGTTAAGCTCTCAGAAGGGCTGCAGAAGCGGTATGAGGAGCAATACCCTCTTGTCCGATCCCTTGCGGATGTATTTGTCTCAAGCGTGAGTATTAAAGCTACTCCTCTACGCACTATGCTCATGCTACTGCTAGTCTCATATCTTCCAAGGCTATGCAACATATGTTTTGCATCTTGAGCGTGCTCTTGAGCAGGTGGATAATGCTTTGAGCACCGCTAGTGCTGCCAAGAAGCCCAAAAACCAAGATGCTGCTGAATGGCTTAAAGTTTGCAAGTCCCTGCAGCGACTAGAAGAGTTTGCTGCTGATAAAGGCGAAACTGGGCTCGCTATCACGCTCTCGAAACCCTTCCAGCGCCTCCTCAAGTACCCTCTACTCTTCCAGAACCTGCTCTTCCACACAGATCCAAGTACATTCGAGTATGAGAGCACTCTGCAGATGGTCGCAGAAGTCGAGACGATCGTGCGCAGCATCGAGGACGAGAAAATCCAAAAAGAGGACCGTGACAAAACACGCGATGTATTTGCGCGCATTGAGGGGCTTGATAAAGTGAAGCAGCTTGCGGTTCCGAAGCCGTCAAGGTTGCTGCTTGAAGAGCGGCAGATTCTTGGGCCTATGAATGGCTCAGGTTCGCCACGAGGTCCAGGGTCGAGCCCACCGCCAGTTGTCAATGCTAAGGGTGTAAAGGGCAAGTCGTCGTTTCGCCGGCTCAGTGATGTTCTGGGGGCGGGCTCAGGCTTGGGAAGCAAGAAAGATCTTTGGCTCGTGGTGTTTAATGATGTTGTCCTGAGGTGCCAGCGCACCGGCACAACGTCACTACCTTTGGTTTCAGGAACGAACTCGAGGGCGACTTCGTTGCCAGAAATGCAGGGGAAGTCAAAATATTCCTCAACAGGGCGGAGAAACTCGCACACGAAGCCGAGGAACCTGTACAAATTTCTCAAGGTAAATCACTGATTATACTGTTCGACCTGTTCTCACTCTGGCGTAGATCGAGACTTGGGCAATAGGAGACGTTGTGCAACCCAATGAAGGAGTTGTCTCGATGGTAGAGTATGTACTTTGTCTCACTGTCAGTAATGTCTACTGAGCGCGTTACAGCGTTGTACGCTCGAAAGCGGAGGCACGATCTGCAGCACAGCCTCGGATCCTCCCTCTCCCTGATGAAGATGAGGATGGCGAGGGAGAATCGGACGACTCGGACAAGAAGAGCAAAATGAGCTTTTCATACTGGGGTGCAGACAAGATCACCCTCCAAAAGCCCGTCCTCAAGCCCAAGCAACACTCCGTTGGTTCGACGCGCCGTGTGTCTCCAGGCGGCACGTCATCCTATAGCAGGGAGTCCTCTGCAAACGCTAAGTTTGGGACTCGCCAAGGTTCGGGTGACCGTGGCTCCCATTCTAATCGTCCCGCGAGCAGGCGAACGCAAGCAACACCCAGCACGCGCACACGTGTCAACCCTTCAGAAGACAGCCATTCTATCAAAGCTACCGTCACGCGACCTGCTTGGGACGTGAGCACCCGCGGACTCGCGCCTGGCATGAAGCGAACACGCCAGACTTCGCAAACGAGTGCAGCCACCCGTGGGATCACTGCCCCTAGCAAACCGCAAGTCTCGCCTGTTGCATCAGAAGACTCAGGGGTGGTCTTATATCGTCAAATGGTAGCCCAGGATCCGTCATTGGTCCATTAATCTGAACTCTTGCCATCTTCTTTCAATACAATCACCCACGACGTTCGTCGCATATTGCAATCTCCTATTTTATTACTTCCTTACCTCTTCTCGCAGTCAACACATTCATTCACCCTGCTCCCTTGCGTCTCTTCATTCTGGTACCCAATTGTTTGCCGATACCATATCACTCTCGTTCATTCTCCTATGCTCACCATCCTCCAACTCCTTCTTTATCACATTCTCTATTCGGAATACAATATCGAACAATTGACAGACATCCAATCATCCAATCCCTAAAGTACTTCAGATATGCTCCCCAGGGTCCAACTTCTAGAGCACGATGCAGTCACCACCTACGTACCTTTTAATCGCACGCCCTTCACTGTCTGATTGTATGTCACCATTATTTTGAACGATTTAGTCTGTTTCGTATGCGGCGTTGTGAATGCTGACGCTACGTCCGCTTGGGTCGGAAGAGCATCCCCAGTCGCCTCGTGGTATCCACCTGGATCAAGAAAAATAAGGAAAAGCTTCATAAAGTAGAGTTTATAAAAACTTACCGAACTGCGGTCTTTGCGGCGGCCTCAGAGGGGAAAAGACCTTGCGCACCATGAGGACCAGTACTTCGAGGCGGTTTATTTCCAAAGTGTCACTCACCATCGAATATTTCTCGAATGTAATATGCTTCTTTTGTGTCTGGGGTATCGACCGGCCAGCGCTCTTCACGTTTGGCAAAATCTTTGTCAGAAACGAATGCGGCAGCATGATCCTTGATCCTGTGATCGAAGTCTATCAGCCTGTCCGCCTCGTGGCCGATAAGAAACAAAATGCGTGGACTAACCCATCTATCCAGGAATATCCGACACCATCTGAGAACTGCTCCTTTTGGCGCCATAGGATAGATTTCGGGAGATATGCCTAAAGTTTGTTGGTGAGCAGGGCAGCGTTTGGAAATTATCGGATCGACAAACCTTGCCCTCTGGCGAACAGTCAAACGCCTTCCGAAGGATATACTGTGGAAAGGAAAGCTAAATCAGTCCTGGTCCAGCAATATCAACAACCCAGCTGACCTTCTCCATCTTTGGACGACCATCTTCGTCGACTGCTTGGTTTGCATCCTTAGC